GGAGGAGGAGGAGGAGGAGGAGGAGGAGGAGGAGGAGGAGGAGGGTCGGGCGCGGGGGAGGAGAAGGCCTGGGCACGGGGGGCGCCCCGCCTCGGGGGAGGCCTCCCCCGTGAGCCACGCGCAGAGAGGGGTAGGGTTAGGTCGGGCGTGTCCCTCTACAGGAGGAAAATTTCAAAAAAGTAAAAGATAGTATGGGGAAGGTTTTCAATTCTTTGTTCACCCTTCGGCGGCATTTTTGAACGATTTTTCATTTTTCCTCCAAATTCCGCGTGTAGGAGGACATGCCCGACCTGAGGGCAGGGGGCAGGGGGGAAGGCTCCTTGGAAGCACCCCTGCTTTTTAGGAGGCGCGGGCCTGGTTTGTAGAAGCATGGCCCCCCTATCCCTACCCCTCGTGTGCGCGCCGCCAACGTCTGGCGTCGAGGAGCAACCGACTGCATAAGCATGAATCTTGGAGCTCCGCGCGGGTTTCTTGGATCGGCGGCCCGGCCCCCCTGGCGGTGCCGCCCCGCGCTCCGCGCTGCGCGCCAGGAAGTGGGGTCCAGCGACGATGACGATTGGGGGTCCCGTGACAGCGACAAGCGCATATTTATCCGGGGGGAGGTCAGCAGTGATGATTCAGAAGGCGTCCATACGCCAGGACAAGGACAAATGGGGATCCAGTGACAGCGAAAAACGCACATTTACCCTGGGGGGGAATCCGCAGTGATGATTCAGAAGGCGTCCATACGCCAGTCCGCCGAGCCACAGGAGAGAACCAGAGTTTCGCACGATCGCGGGAGCCATTCGGACCACTGCGCCTGATTGCATCGGCTCGTACGAGCGGTATTTGAGCCTATTGTGGGCCTCTTTGGCCTCCAGGTTGTCTTGGGCGCTGGCTGCCGGTCTCGAGGGTCCACTTGGGGCGAAGGGCTCGAAATACCAGTTCGAGTTGCCTCTCCTGGTCCCCTCTTCGGGCTTTGTTGGAGCCCTTAGGTACCATGTTGAGGGCTGATGAGGCCGGTTTTGAAAGATCTTGGGGCCCTCTGGAGCGCTCTTAAGACGAAAACAGGTAGTATGTTACCCGTATATGTTTCCGATTAACTAGCAACTTGTACATTTGGGAGGCCCCACGGAATGTAGATTTGGGCCCCCCCGAGGCCCCAGGGGTGCGTTGACGTGCTCTGCCCCCCCCCTCCTCCAGGGGAGAGGACCCCACTTGAATTAGGAGGGGAGTCGGGCCATCTTAGGGTAACGTGCGCCTGTTTTGCCAAAGGGCCAAGACTCAGAATCGGTTGCCTCGCCATGGCCATTTTAAGGGGAGGGTCCTTACGGCCAGCGGCGCCCAGGAATCACGATACGCAATCTTCGGGCCAGAGCCCTGGCGCTGAGTGGGTCCCTGTGGCGAGCGGCACCCAGGAATCACCGCCTCGAGTTGGGGCCCTGGGGCCAGGTGGGTTTTTGTGGCGAGCGGCGCCCAGGAATCAAAGGTCGCCCTTTTTGGGAGCTGGAGCCATGGAGGCGAGCGGGTTCCTGTAACGAGCGGTGCCCAAGAGTCCAGGGTCGCCATCTCCTGGCCATGGCCAGAGGAAGGCACGTTGCGACCGCTCTCGCATCCCAGCCTCGAACTCGGCTGGGACTCGATAGGGGCTGTCTTGTTGGGGTATCTTGGGCGCCGTTCGGCGCCCGTCAGGCCCAGGGGGCCAGCATGAAGAAGAACCATGGGTTCGGCAGCGCCAAACCGCAGGTTTTCTTGTCATGCCGACCCCCATAGCCTTCTGGGCGGCCAAAGGCGCCGTGACACAAACACTTGGGCTCGGCAGCGCCAAACCCACCGATTTCGTGATGGCGCCGTGGGGCGCCCTTAATGCATTGGGGGCTGGCATTCCAAGAAGCATGCGTTCGGCAGACTCAACATTCACGATTTGTGTCATGCCGACCCCCTCGCCTTGTGGGCAGCCCATGGCGCGCGCCGTGGCAGCAATTTTTGGGCGCGGCAGCGCCAATCCGAAAGTTCTCTTTCATGGCGCCGTGGGCCTGCCAGACACATTGGGGCTCGACGGCACCAGACCTAACATCTTTTGTCATATCGAGCCCCTCGCCTTGTCGGCGGCCCAACGCGCCATTTAAACAAACACCGTCGGTATGGCAGCGCCCAGTGATGTTTGTCATGGCTCCGTGGAGCGCCCATCGGGCACGAGGAGCGGGCATGACCGGTTAGTTTGGCGAACGGCCCAACCATGTGCAGTTGTGAGTGCCGCACTTGTGAGTTTGAGCGTCGGTGGAGCTCCCTACGGGGCCACGAAGCGTGTGAGGGGTGTGCCAAAGTGGGGTGACGGCGGCATGAGAAGGCAGCCGCTGAGGCGTTCGGCGGGGGCCCCCACAGGGCCACGCAATATGTGAGGGGTGTGCCAACGTAGGGTGGCGGCGGCGTGCGAACGCAGTCATGAGGGCTTACGGTGGGGTTCACTGTGGGGCCAAGAAACGTGTGAGGGATATGACAGTGGGGTGGCGGCCGCATGCAAACGCAGCCATTCGGGCTTGCGGCGGAGCTCCATATGGGGCCACGAAGCGTGTGGTGGGTGTGCCAAGATGGAGCGGCGGCGGCATGCGAACGCAGCCATTGCGGCTTACAGTGGGACTCCCGACGAGTGGGGCCACGAAGCGTGTGACGGGTGGCGGCTGCATGCGAACGCAGCCGTTGGGGCCTTCGGTGGAGCTCCCGCCGGGTGGGGCCACGAAGCATGTGAGGGGTGTTCCAGCGTGGGGTGGCGGCGACAAGTGGGCGCAGCCAACCTGGGCCTTCAGTGGGGGTCCTCATGGAGCTACGCAACGCGTGAGCGGTGTGCCAAGGTCGGTTGGCGGCGGCATGCGAAGGCAGCCGCTGGAGCCTTCGGTGGATTTGCCTAAGGGGCCGCGAAACGTGTGAGGGTATGCCTAAATGGGGTGGCGGTGACATGCGAACGCAATCATTGTGGCCTTCGGCGGGGCTTCTGTGGGGCCACGAAGCGCGTGAGGGGTGTGCCGAGGTGGAGCGGCGGCGGCATGCGAACGCAGCCACTGCGGCTTACAGTGGGACTCCCGACGGGTCGGGCCACGAAGCGTTTAACGGGTGGCGGCTGCATGCGAACGCAGCGGCTGAGGCCTTCGAGGGTGGCTTCTATTGGACCACGAAAAGTGTGAGGGCTGTGCCAAGGTGGGGCGGCGGCGGCATGCGAACGCAGCCACTGGGGCTTACGGTGGGGCTCGCGATGGCTGCATGCAGGCGCTACCATTGGGGCCTTCGGTGGAGCTCCCGATGGGGCCACGAAACGTGTGTGTGTGTGTGTGTGTGTGTGTGTGTGTGTGTGTGTGTGTGTGTGTGTGTGTGTGTGTGTGTGTGTGTGTGTGTGTGTGTGTGTGTGTGTGTGTGTGTGTGTGTGTGTGTGTGTGTGTGTGTGTGTGGGGGGGGGCCAAAGTGGGTTGGCGGCGGCAAGTTGGCGCAGCCAACCTGGGCCTTCGGTGGGAGTCCAGATCGGCATCGCCAAACCCAAGGATTGTTGTCATGGCGCCGTGGGGCGCCGATCAGGCACGGGGGGGCGACATGACAGACGATTTCTTGGGTTCGGCAGCGCCAAGCCGAAGGGTTTGTGTCATGCCGATCCCCTCGCCTTGTGGGCGGCCCAAAGCGCTATGGCAACAACCTTGTGCTCGGCAGCGCCAAACCTAACTGGTCCACACGGCTCCAGAACCGGGGGGGCCGCGAGGTTTTCTGGAACTCTTGGAGCATACCCTGAGCCAATCGTGCCATGACAATGTTAGCGTCCTAGCGGTGGCAAAAGGAGGAGCATGAGGAGGAAGAGGAGGAGGAGGAGGAGGAGGACATTTTGTCTCGTCCTCCCAGCCCTTCGTGGACCCCAGGGGACCTCGTTGTCTCTCCGCCCGCGCGCCCATCTCCCTCCCGCCGCCCGCGTCCCGCCGCTCGCGCCGCTCCGGCCGCAGCCGCTGCCGCAGCCGCTGCCCCTGCCACAGCCGCTGCCGCAGCCGCTGCCGCAGCCGCTGTCGTTCTCTCACCCTGTCTCGCTGTTTCTCTTTCTCGCTCTCTCGGCTGCGCCGCACGCCCGCCCCCTCCTCCTTGCCTCCTCCCCGCCATACAGTGGGGTCAGGCCAGGAAACACCCGGGTTGCCTCCAGGGTGCCCTGGGTTTCTTGGGTTCCGATGGTGTTGCGCTGAAAAGCGTGACGTGCCCCCACCGAAAACCAGTGGACGCCCTGGGGTCTCAGGGGTTGGGTTTCTTGTGGAGGGTTTCTTGTGGTCGGCCCCCCAAGCACCCCAAGACGCGCGAGGGCAGCCAGGCAGCCCGGCAGCCCCGCGCGCCTCCAGACGAGAGCCCCCGACCCCGCCCGAGACGGCCCCACCGGGCCCATTCTGTGCTCTCGCGCTGGAGAGGCCGCCCCCCCCCGGGCGGCCCAGGAGAACCCCGAGACGGCCCGGGAGGGCACCACAGGGGCGGCCCACTGTAGCCGCCCGAGGACGCAGAGGCGCGCAAAGGGCGGCCCCAAGGAGCGCCAGAGTCAGGAGCGACAGAAGGACGGACGCGTACATGACATCCGCGTTGGTTTCGAGGGTATGCACTGCGCGAAGGTTCGTATCCCGCGGACGGTCTCGCGGATCGAGCGGCCGTGTTCATGTACATGGTTGGGCGCGTACGTCCTCTGTGGCCCTTCCCACAGAGGGCGGCGCGAGGACGAGGGCGGCCCCCGCCCCTCTCGCTCCCCCGCCGCAGCTCGCGGCCGCCGCTGCCCGCCGCGGCTCCGGCTGCTGCCGCGGCTGCTGCCGCGCGGCCCGCGCGCCGCAGGCGAGTGCACCCCGGCGGGCTCGCGGCCGCTGCTGTGGGAGGCGGAGCGCGGGGGCCGGCAGGCCCGCCGCCCGGGGCTCGGGGGCGGAAAAGAGGGGGGTGATGACCCTGACCTTCCAGGAGGGCTAAAAAATAGCACCCGACCTAAAGACCTATCCTAGAGCTATTCTACGTCTTGGTTTTAGGCAGTTTCGCTCCGCTTTCTAGGTTTTTAGGTCTCCAGTGCTAAAAAATAGCTCTCTGGAAGGTCAGGGGACTAGGGGGGGGTGGATATCATGGCGGGGGCCATGATATTCCCCCAGATTTCATGGCGCCTCTTCTCATTTCATGACGTCCCTGGCCCCCCCCCCCGCTGGGCCGCGCACATGCCGCCGGTCATGATTTGCACCCCCCCCCCCCCCCTTGGACACCCCCCTCTTGGCCGCTCCCGACAGGGCTCGTCTCGATTCCTCCGGCTCGATGTTCGAGTCGACTTGGATGGTTTTTCCGATGCCGTCTCGCTGCGGCTCTCGGGGCTCAAGAGGCGGGGGTCGATGCAAACGGGGGTCGGCCGGAGCGCCCGATCTTGCAGGATCCTGCAGGGCCAGGGTCGCACTGACCCGGGTCTTGGATGCAGGATCCTGCAGGATCTTGCAGGATCTTTCGCATTGACCTGGGTTTGGGCGCAGGATCGCGCAGGATTCTGCAAGGCCTGACTGACTGGGTTTGGATTGGCCCGGGTCAGAAGATCCCCGAGGCTCGTTTCGATTCCTCCGACTCGATTCGATTCGATCTCGATGGTTTCCGTTTGTTTCCGCTTCGATTCGACTTCGGAATGCCCGAGTTGGGCTCCGATTTTTCTCAATGGTGGCCTGCCGATTTCTGCCGATCCGATGTTTCTCGATGTGGCTGCCGATTTTCGCCGATCCGGTTCATGTCGACCGCCGATCTGGCTTGCCGATTTGATTCCGAGTGTTCTTGCCGCCGCACGGATCGCAGGAGGGGGGCGCGGCGGCCTGCAGAAGGGCCGTGGGATATCATTTTTTAAACCACCCAAGGGATGACGCATGTTCCCCCCCCTCCCCCTCCCCCCCTGTAGCGGTAACGCCCCAGCCCCGATCCAGCGCGCGATCCCTGGCATTTTAGGGTCTGTTGTGCACGCGGGCGTGCACTATGGTGCACGCAGGCAGTGCGGTGTGCACGGGCGTTCTGGCGTACGCATCCGTCGTTGCAGCAGCAGCCGTGGTGCATGTAGGCAGAAAAGGTATACGCAAGCATTGTGGTGTACACATCACAAGCTCTGTGGTGTACACAGGCGCCGTAGTGTACACAATCGCTGTAGCGCGCAAGTTCGCTACGATGTAAGCGTGCGTTGAGTGCTATCATGGGCCCATGCATATTTTCGCACTCCTTACTCCTCCTCCCTCTTCACTTCCGTGCACACAGGCGGTGTGTTCCACATTCGCTGTAGGCTTAAGATGATGATGATGATGAGGAGGAGGAGGAGGAGGGGGAGGAGGATAAAAAGGAGGAGGAGGAGGAGGGGGAGGAGGAGGAGGAGGAGGAAGAATAATATGATAGGTGTGCGCAGGCTGTGTGCGGTGCATCACGTAGATCCGCTGGCGGTCTCGCGCACGGATTTCTGCGGTAAGCGTCTTTTGCTCCTCTTGCTCCTCCTGCTGGTGCTGCTGTCCTGCGTGTATTCCCCTGGCTGACGCCGCTCCGCGCGCCCCCAAGCCGTGCGGTGTTCACGGGCGCCGTGGTGCGCGCAGTTGCCATGAAGTGCACAGTCGCTTTGGCGTACGCAGGCGTTGCGGGCCTAACCCTGGCATCGCTCGGACGTGTGCATTTTTTTCTCGGCGAGGACCTTCGAGGAGCCTCCTCGACCATTTCGCGAAAAACCCACGCACGGAACCGAAAAAAACACAGGAAATGGACGTCCGAGCGATGGCGAGTAACATGTCCCAGCGATCCTGGGGCCAGAAATGATCAATCAACTCAGAGATTGAATTTGATACGTTCGGGCCCTCGACGATTTTCCAGAGTTTGGCCCCGTCGGTATTGCCTTCAGGCGTACACGAAGTTTGCGGTGTGCGCAGGCGCTGTGGTGCACAAGGGGTGCTGCGACAGCGGCTGTGGTGCACGCAGGCGCCGTGGTGTGCACAGATCGCGCGACGTGCAAGCGCGTCGCGATGCACAGAGCCAGACCCCCCCCCCTTCCGCCCACTGTCGACGAATTAAAAGAACGTTCACCTGTGGGTCAGGAGCCTCGGGGATGCATATAAGGGCTCTCCATGGATGCCTCTCCGGAGCCTCGTGGGCGGCAGCCTCCTGGGGGCCTTGTGGGTAGCTTCTGGAAGCCTCTCGGGGGCTCCTTTCGGGGCGCCTCCTCGGGGGGCACCTGGGGGGCTCTCTCGGGGCCGGCGCGGCAGGAAAGGTTCGAGACGTCGGGCCGTCTTGCCCCCCTGCCCGTCTGCTCCAGCTCCATCCCCTGGCAGCCGCGGGGGTCACGTTTCCCGCCCGCGGCCCTCCCAGGTGTGCCGACCGTTGCTTGCGAGGCTGTCCGTCGTCCAGGACCCAGGCTTGACGTCCCTCCGGGGCCCGACAACGGGCCCCCGGGGCCGAAGACATGGAGGAACAACTCTGGGACTGCACGGCCCGTCTCGTCGGGGACCTGGCTTTGGGCGCCCTCCATTTCCTCCTCCTCCTCCTCCTCCTCCTCCTCCTCCCTCCTCCCCCTCCTCCTCCTCCTCCTCCTCCTCCTCCTCCTCCTCCTCCTCCTCCTCCTCCTCCTCCTCCTCCCTCCTCTGCCCGGGGCCAGGCCTTCGTCGCCGGCGTCCTCGACCTCGGGGGGGGCGCGCCCGAGATCCCGCCGGCGGTGAAGGAAGCGCTCGGCTGCGCGGGCGTGGCGGCCTTCGAGGAGGCGTCGCGCGGCCCGGGCAGGTCGGGGACTCCGCGGGCCCTTTTTTGCTTGTCCCCCTTTGTGCGACAAGGGGCGCGGTCGGCCCAGGCTCCCGCCCCCCCCCACCCCAGCTCGGGGGGCTGCTCTGATACGGCGCCCGTGGTCGCCACGGGACGACCGCCGATCACCATCAAGGCTTAGCCTACTTTCGCCTCGGCCACCAGAAAGAGTTTCGAGCACCAGGAAAGGACCGAAATTCAAGGGTTTTCACGCGTCGGGCCCTGGGAGACTCGTCCGACACTGTTTCGGCACTCTTTCGAATCTTCCGGGTGCTCGGAATTATTTCTGGGTTGTGGTCCTTAAGTACGATGGGAGCAACATGCATCAAGAGGTTGCGGTCGTTGCCCCGTCTTGCCCTCCAAGTCCTGTAGCGTTCGCAGGCTACTGTGGTTGGTGGTCGCACAGACATGGTGCTGTGCTCACAGGCGTGCTGCAGTATTCGCAAGATAGCTGTGCATTTGCGCGCGTTTGGTGGTCTCACGGATGTAGTGCTGCTTTGTTGTTCAGAAGCATTGGTGCGGCGCCCGTAACGCGGCACCCGTAATTACCAATATTGTGATGCATGCAGGCATTGTTGTGCGACAGGCGTGTTGCTGTACGCAAGCGCCGTGGTGCTCAGTCGTTGCGTAACTGCGCAGGCACTGCGGGCCCAAAATACAGTCCATGCCTCAGACCAGAAAAGTCAATAATGATAAATAAGTTACATAATGGACAAATTAGTTACATAATGGAACTGGTAGGCTCGGGCCCGCCACGATTTTTCTGAGTTTCGGTCCCGTCGGAACCCTGGCGATTTCTTACACGCGCTGTGGTCTACGCAGGCGTGTGCACATGCACTCTTGCGCACGTAGACGCCAGGGGCTGTGGTGCACACGGCCGCTGTGGTGGCGTACGCATCGCATGTTGTGGTAGACCGTCGCTGTGGTGGCCGAAGATTGTACATCAACTTGCATATTGAATGTGGTACGTTCGGGTCCGACCTGATTTTCGGAGGTGGTGTTCCCCGTCGGGAATGTGGGGAAGTACCCAGGTTTTGTGGTGATCAAAGGCGTGTACAGACACCGGCATGCGACACTGTGTGCGGTGTACACCGCTGCTGTATTCACACGCATCGTGTTGTACACCAGCGTTGTGGTGCACGAAGGTATTGCGGGCCCAACATGCAGGCCGTGCGCCGGGCCAACAAAAACAATAAACACACATAACTTACATAGCTGAATTGACAAATCCGGACCAACCACGACTTTTTTCTAGAGTTTGGGCCACGCTGGGAATCTGGGGATGTACACAGATTTTGTGGTGCACGCGGGCGGAGTGTAGCGCCAGGCGTTGGGACGCATGCGTCTTATGTGTTTGCACAGCATTGTATTGTACATTGGCGTTGTGGTGCACGCAGGCGGTCACCACGATTGTCTGGAGCTTGGGATTTTTGGGGTATGCGCAGGTTTTGTGGTGTACGCAGGCATTGGTGGTCCCAGGCGCCAGGCGTTGTGGTGCAAGTGGCTGCTTTGGCTGCACAAGCGTCATGTTGTACAGGGGCTGTGGTGCACTGAGGTACAACGTGCCCCAAACACAGGGTGGACCGTATCCCAGGCCTGAAGAATCAATAATCGCACGTAACTTACATGTTGAATTCTTTACGCTTCGCGTATCCCCACCAGCCCATCTCACAGCAGCAACTCTTGCGAAGCATGCCGACAGTCGTGTTTTTCAGGCGTGTGTCCGCTTGGCCCCGCATATCTCCCCTGTTCCTCCTTCCTCCCGCCTCCTTGTACATCCTCCTTGTGGGGGGAGCGGGAGAAGGACGAGGCGGAGGAGGAGGGAGAGAAAGCGCTCCTCGTGATTTGAGTCGTTTGGGGTTTCTCGTCCTGGTGTGAGTCGTTCGGGCCCTTCTTCCTGGTGTGAGTCGTTCGGGCTCTTCGTGGTGTGAGTCGTTCGGGCTCTTCGTCCTGGTGTGAGTCGTTCGGGCTTCTCGCGGTGTGAGTTGTTCGGGCCCCTCATCCTGGTGTGAGTCGTTCGGGCCCCTCCCACGTAACTTACATGTTGAACTTGACAGGCTGTGGCCCCGTCGGGGACTTGGGGGTGTACCCAGGTTTAGTCGTATACGCAGGCATTGTGGCGCATGTAGCCGCCAGACGCTGAAGTGCGCACAGCTACTGCGATTGCGCAAACATTGTGCTGTTCGCAGGCGTTGTGGTGCACAAAGAAGTTGTTGCGTTTGCAAGGGCTGTGTTGTGTACGCATGTATCGTGGTGTACACAGGCGTTCCGGTGCACACTGCATAATACGTTAACAAGGCTTGAAGTTGTTGATTATTGCAATACTTATTATTGCTACGACTACCACTACTACTTCTATTACCTTCTGCCGATTACTAGTATTATCCCTATGATTAAAGTACGACTACTACTACTACTAATCCTACTACTACTCCTACTACTACTACTACTACTTCTACTTCTACTTCTACTACTACTATTACTACTACTACTGCAACTACTCCTCCTCCTACTACTATTTTTCTTCTACTACTACGACTACGACTACTACTACTACTACTACTACTACTACTACCAATGTATACGGTTACGAACACAGTTATTACTACTACGACGACGCGATTAGTATTATTTCGCATTCACCATCGCTACTGCTATGGTTAACGTTGTTAGCATTGTCATAAATTTCATTTGTATTCTTCCCACGAGAAGGAACACTACTATTATTCTGACTACAACAGATGCAACTACTAGCGTTGCTGCTGGTATTACTACCTCTACGACTACGACGACAACGACGGCTACTATTAGTACCGGTATTAAGATCACTCTTTATCATTGCCATCACTACTATTATTATCTTAACTATTATCATTACTACTACTACTGTGTACCGTTATTATTACTATCCCTTCTGCTACTACTAATTTTACTACTACTACTACTATTACTACTACTACTACTACTACTACTACTACTACTACTACTACGACTACTACTACTACGACTACTACGACTATTACTACTACTACTACTACTACTATTACTACTACTACTACTACTGCTACTACTACTACTACTACTACTACTACTAGTTTTGCTACTAGTTGTACGATTCCTATTACTACTACTACTACTACTACTACTACTACTACTACTACTACTACTACTACTACTCTACTACTACTACTGCTACTACTACTACTACTAAACCTACTACTACTACTTCTACTACGACGACGACGACTACTACTACTACTATTTCTACTACGGCTACTACGACTACGACTACTACGTTTACTACTGCTACGACTTTTTCTTCTAGTACGTTTAGTACTATTACTACTACTGTGACTTCTACCACTAACGCTACCACTACCACTACTACTACTACTATTACCACTACTACGACTACTACTACTACTACTACTACTACTACTACTACTACTACTACTGCTATTACTACTACTACTACTACTACTACTACTACTGCTACTGCTACTACTACTACTACTACTACTACTACTATTACTACTACTACCTGTGTCACTACGGGCCATTTTACTTGTGTTATTATTATTGATGCGGTTCGCATGTCTTTCGAGTGCAGCCGTTATCTATGAGCCTTGTGTTATTATTACGACTAACACTAACACCAACATGGTTCTGAATCTGCGTATTACGATTGATTATGTTTGCTCACGAGGCTTACGCCATTCCGCCGACCCCCAGAAGAGGGACGAAGTCAACGGGTGAGGCTTTTTTGGGTCTCTTGGGGCCCTCTCGGAGGCCTTTTTGGGGCCCCGCGTGGGCCCCTTCGGGCTTTTTGGTGGATTCTTGAGCGCCTGCTGGCGGTCTTGGGGGTCCTCTTGGGGCGGAGGGATCGGAGTGTCAGTTCGAGTTGCCCTTCTTGGGGCCCTGTTGAGGCTCTCTTGGGCCAATTTGGGCGCCTCTTGGGCCGTCTTGAGAGCCACTTCGGCCGTCTTGGGGCCTCGTGGGGGCTTCTCGGGCCGTCTCGGAGCGATCATGGGGGCCTCTTGAGCCGTCCCGGACGCCGTTGAGTCCACTGCGAATCTGTCCAAATTATTTGTTTTCCCAAAAAACCAATTCTTGCTTCTTGGGGCACTGTCGGGGGTCGTCTTGGAGACCTCTTGGGGCGTCTTTGAGGCCTTTGGGCAGTCTGAGGCTAACTTGGTCGTCTTCCAGGACTCCTGTGCGAGTTGGACCTGATTGGTCAAGCGGAGATCGATTGTTAGGCATTTTGGAGGCCACAGAGTGTAAAAGTGGAGGCTCCAGAGGCTCCGGGGGAGCGTTGATGAGTTTGGAGTCTACCCCCCCTAATCAAATTTCAGAACCCACGGGGGGGAGTGGGGGAGGGGGTCTGCAAATCCTTTCACACGCCTTTCCACCCCTCGCAAGCGGGAGTCGGCAGATTCCGAACACCATTATTACCACTTACTAGTTCTTTTTCCACCATTACTGGTAGTAGTATTATTACAAGTACTACTATACTACTAGTACTAGTACTACTACTACTACTACTACTACTACTACTACTACTACTACTACTACTACTACTACTACTACTATTACTACAAGTAGTAGCACTATTATTATTACTACTACTGCTGCTACTACTACTACTACTACTACTACTACGACTGCTACTGCTACTGCTACTACTACTACAACTACTACAACTACTGCTACTACTACTCCTACTACAACTACGAGTACATTACTACTACTACTGATACTGCTACTACTACGACTACTACTACGACTGGTACAGTTACTGCTACTGTTACTACTACTACTCCTACTTCAACTATTCTTACGAATATTACTACTACTACTACTACTACTACGACAACGCGTACTAGTAGCACTTTTATTACTACTACTACTACCACTTCTACGACTACTACTACTACTACTACTACGACTACGACTACGACTACTATTTTACTACTACCACCACCACCACCACTACTACTACTACTACTACTACTATTACCACTACTACTACTACTACTACTACTATTACAACTGCTTCTACCACAACTCCGACTACTACGTCTACGACTACGACACCGACTTCTGCATTGATTACTATTACTACTGCCACTACTACTACTTCTACAACTTCTTCTTCTACTACTACTGCTGCTACTACTAGTACTACGACGACGACTACTACTACTACTACTACTACGACTACGATTACGACTACGACTACGGCTACCTTTATTTTTACTTTTACTACTACTACTATTACTACTACTACTACTACTACTACTACTACTACTACTACCACTACTGGTGTTGCTGCTGCTGTGACTGCTACTGCTTCTGCTACTAGTACTACGATTACTACTACTACGACGACTACTACTACTACTGCTACTACTACTTCTACGGTTACTACTACTACTATTACTACGTCTTTTACTACGACTACTACTACTACGACTACTACTACTACTACTACTACTACTACTACTACTGCTACTACTATTACTACTACGACTACTACTACTACTACTACTACTACTACTACTACTACTACTACTACTACGACTACTACTACTACTGCTACTACTACTACTACTACTAGTACTCCGACTACGACTACGACTACTACTACGACTACGACTAGTAGTATTACTACTACTACGACTATTACGACTGTTACGACTACTACTACTACTACTGCTACTACTACTACTACTACTACGACTACTACGACTACTACTACTATCACTCTACGTTTTCTATTTTTCTTCTACTATTACTACTACTACTACTACTACTACTACTACTACTACTACTACTACTATTGCTACGGCTACTGCCACTACAACGACTACTACTTAGTTTTCTTGTTCTTGTTCTTCTTCTATTACTATTATTCCTACTACTACTACTACTACTACTACTACTACTACTACTACTACGACTACGACTACGACTACTACTACTACTACTACTACTACTACTACTACTACTACTACTACTACTACTGCTATCACGACTACTACTACTACTGCTGCTCCTGCTCCTGCTCCTGCTCCTGCTCGTATTACGTACTACTGCCCCAGCTGCTACGTTTACAATCGCGACGACTACCACGGCTACTATTGCTACCACTAGAGCTACGATTTGCACCCTTATTATGATTGTTCCTAGCGCCCCCGTCCCCCGTGACGCGATCAGCGCGCCAGCCCCCCCAGAACACGCTGGTAGCCGCCTTGTGAAAAACCGACCTCCTCGCTCCAGTTCGGCCCCTGGCACCGCCCAGCCGCCTTACAATTCAATATTAATCAGTGGCTTGGTTCGGCGAGGATCGGCTCGAGATTGTCGGCTCGAGGTTCGACGTTTTCGAGAGTCCTCTTTGGTTCTCGGCGATTTTCAAGCCTCGCGGTGTGTTCCAGCGTCTGCGCCTCGCCGAGGGCGCCGAGGATCGGTGTGGATTCCTCCCTGGCCGAGCGAGCAGAGCGAAAAGCAGCGGCAACTTTCGGGGCGGGCATCGGCTGTGTTCGAGTGTTGCGTTCGTCGGTTCTCGGCGGTTTTCCAGCCTCGGGATGCGTTCCAGCGGATGCGCCCCGCGAGCCGAGCCATGGCCCGGAAGCCACGGGGCAACACATCGACCCCCAATGGTTCAGTCATCGCGGATGGGGGCCCCGATAGCCCAGGCTCCATCCAGAGCCTAGAGATTGGCCTGCGAGAGTAAATCCGCACGGTAGATCGGCCACGGCGATAGGCCTATGGCCGCTCGCTATCGGGGTTGCACCGCCAATTCTGGGTCGGTGTGTAAGCTCGGTTCTCTTCACCAAGCCAGCATGAAGGAGGGGGGGCTGGAGGAACGAGGCCCTGGATGTTTTTCGCCGCTCTCGGGTGCTAGGTCCTCTCCCGGGCCCAGGGGACTCAAGCAAAACCAGGCTCGGCATGAGTCGGGGGATGCCAAGTGGGGGGTGATGACAAAGGGGGCGTGGATATCATGGCAGGGGCCATGATATCTCCCAAGAAATCATGGCGCCTCTTGTCATTTCCATACGTCCCCGCCGCCCCCCCTGGGCCGCACACGTGCCGCTGGCAATGATTTGCGCCCCCTCCCTTTGGATCCCCCCCCCTTTTGGACGCTCCAGAGTGAGGAGCAGGACGCGTGTCTGCCAGAGCCCGTTTCTTTTATGTTTTTGTTAGGGTCCAAGCGTCGTAGGCAAACACCACGATTGGCATTTCCGTTCAGTTTCAGACCCCTTGAAGGTGCATCTGGTTTTTAAGAACGCGGGGTAGCTTTCTCGGTTCGTGACGCGATGGCGGATCTTCCAGGGAGGGTTCGTGCGAGCGAGACGACTTAGCCACCGCCCGGTGTAATGCTACCTTCCCGCCGGGGCACTAGCAGACACTCGCAGGCACCCCGACGTGTTGTTCTACTCCATGGCACTTGTCGCGCTATGCGTTTCGGTGGATGGATTGATGCTCTGGGGTGCTGTGTGTCAGCTTCTTCGTATTCCTGCTCCTCCTCCTCGCTCCCCCCATCATCCATCCGCTCTTCGTCTACACGCTCCGCCTCCGCGCCCCAACCTCAAATCATTGATTCCTTGGGGCTTTGGTCTGGCCGCCTGAACGATGGTGCTGCGAGCTGCCGGGGTCGTTTGACCCAAATACGGTCAACCCACATGTAAGCATGGGCAACCTTCCCAAGAATACCCTTGCATCCTTGCCTCCTCGGTCCATCCTTGGCCACTTTCGTTGGCCACGCCCCGCTCGAAAAGCTTCGATGTGGCCTTTCAAGGCCCTTGCATCCTTATCGTGCGTCCTTATTGTGCAGGTTGACTATATTCTGCCCTCCAGAGCAGGCCTGGGAACATTGTAAATCGCCCAGAGCGTTCCAGAGCGGTCTGGATCGGCCGCGACCTCCCAATCCATCTTCTGGGCCCACCACCTCAGAGATCCCCGAGTTAACCCGTAACGGATGTTGCCCGTATTTCGCATGTTTCCCCTTTCTCCCACCGATGGAGACAGCGCTCGCTGCCTCCTTCCAGGGTTCATTTCGATTCGATCGTTCCGATTTAAATATCGATTTCGGACGGCCCGATCCGATTCGATTTTTGTATTCCGGCGATCCGATGAGTCCCGATGTTCGCATGGTGTTGTAGTGCATTTTGGCGCAGGCAGTCCGATTCGGTTTCGATCAAGTGCCGCTGCAGCCTGGTCCGACGCACACCCTGATCCGATCCGATGATGTCCCGATCGATGTCGCGATTCGATGCCATCCGATCCTGCCGTAGCCTCCCGACAGGCGTGCTCTGCAGCGGATGGCCTCATGGCGAACTACTCCGTGCACTGCCGCTCCTACGCGGGCATAGAGGACGGCGGCTCCGTCGCGGCCAGGCCGCGCGTGGCCGAGCAGGGATGGTCGTAGTCTCCTTCGTCCCGAAGAGGGAGGGAGGGAGGGAGGGAGGGGAGGGAGGGAGGAGGAGGGAGGGGGGAGGAGGGAGGGGGGAGGGGGGAGGGAGGAGGGAGGAGGGAGGGAGGAGGGAGGAGCGGGAGGGAGGGAGGGAGGAGGGAGGGATGGAGGGAGAGAGGGAGGGAGCAGCACGAACAGAAACGTTCGGAGATCTGCCCCGGTTTCCTCGATCGGCGTTGGGCGCCTCTGGCGGCGTCCCCGGCGCCGTTCCCGGCGCGCTCCGCGCGCCAGGGAGGGGAGCCCAGCGCCGATCCGAGCAATAGGCGTGGAAAGTCGGGCGTGTTCCTCTACAGGGGAAATTCTCAGCAACATAGTCTGGGGACGACTTGTTGTTTATGTTTAATTATGTTTGATTATTTTGGGGGTATTGCTAAGGCCTTACGGCCGGTGCTGCCGACCCTGAAGACGACGTCGACGAATACGAGGAGGAGGAGGAGGAGGAGGAATCGGAATCGGAATCGGAATCGGCCCCATCGCGGTGCGAAGATAATTAATGATCGACACGGGCACAAAGCTCTTATTCCCTGCGAGAAGAAACAGGACGTGATAAGCAGAGCACCAACTGTCTGAAAGTGAAAGCCCATGGCCACAAAACGCGCGTTCACCTGATTACAGAAATGCACAACGTCTGACCAAGAGCCGCACAAGAAAGCAAGTGTACGCCAGATCTCAGGAATGCACGACTGTTCATGTTCCTCCACAAGAAGCATGGCGATGAGCGAAATCACTTCGAACATTGAACACAAGATAAGTGAGCACCACAACAACAAAATGTCCATACAGTGCCCACTGTGAGCAGCTCTTGTTACTCGCCCCCCACTTCTCTAGGGGCCTCCCAGGGTGTGCGGCGGCCGCTCCCCAGGTACGCGCCTCCCTCTTCTCTAGAGGCCTGCCTGGGTATGCGGCGCTGCTTCTTCGCCGGAAAAGGCCAGTGGGATCAGCTCTGCGGGCAGTCCGCTGGGGTTGTGCCTGGGACAGACGTGGGCGTGCTCCAGTCGATCGTCAGCCCCGTCGCGCCCGTTGCCTGCGAATCCTGCCCAGCAGCGCCTCCCTGCAGAGCACATCCCCCGTGGGGGCCCGAAATCGCGCCTCGGCGCGCCGCCCCGCAGCACGTCGATGTCGCCGAGGAGCCTCTCCCGCTCCGCGCTGGATGCCCAGCTCTGGGCTGCGCTGTCACGCCCAGTCTGCATCCCCCGCGTCGCTGTGGCCTCGACCGACGCCTCCGCCACCGCCTTTTCTGGCGCCTGCGGCACCTCCAAGGGCCTCTCGGAGGCGCCCGAGGCGGCCCCGCCGTCAGCTCGCTCCCCGTCGTCACGACCGTGAGGCCCAGGAAGAGGGGGGGGCGGCTGCGAGCGCGCCTGGGCCGCCATCGCTCGCAGCAGCTGCATCGCCGCCGCCAGGAACGCATCCAGCCTCCTCAGGGCCCGCCGCGGGCGCAGGCGCGAGCGCGGCCGCGAGCGCCGCGCCAAGGCGCGTCGGCTCGGCGCCGCGATGGCCGCGCAGCTCCTCGAAGGCGGCGAGGAGGCGCTGCACCGTGCGACCCTCGGCCCTGCGATACTGGGCCCTCCGCTCGGCCGCCGCCCGGTTTGGCCTGCGAGGGCGCCGCGCCGGCGCCGCCGCCGCGCCCGTTCCGGACATGGCGCCGCGAGGGGAGGGTGCGGGAGGGAGGGGGCGGAGCGGAAGCTCCGATGGCGCGGGCTGGCGGGGAGCGAGGGGCTCCAGCCTAGCTGGCAGCTAGGAGGAGGAGGAGGAGGAGGAGGAGGAGGAGGAGGAGGAGGAGGAGGAAGAGGAGGGGGATTAAGGTGGAAGGGAGCAGGAGAAGGCGAAGGAGATGTTCCCCATGTGGGCCGAGGGAGTCGTAGTCGTAGCAGAGACAGACAGTGAGCCTTGTGGCCTGCGGCCCTTCCCGCCACCGTGCTGAGGTTGTGGTAAGGCCTCTTGGATGTTTTCGGGCCTGTTGGGGCCTCTGTTGGGCCTCTTGGGGTTCTCTTGGGAGCCTCTTCGGGCCCCTTGAGAGGCTCTTGGGGCCTTCCGGGGGCTTCTTGGGGCGGGAAGCTCGAAATGTCGGTTCGTGGTCCTCTTCTTCGGCCTGCTTGGGGCCCTCTTGGCGCGTCTTAGCGCTTTTTCGGGCTCTGGGACGCCCAGGGGCGGATGCGTATCTGACCCCCCCCTCTCCCCCCTGGACCCCTTGGGACCACCCCGGGACTCCCACCCCCCCTCGGCGGGGGAGGGATCGAAGGGAGGGGACTTCCCTTCGACAAATTGCGACGTTGCTACGGTTTTCTCTCGCTGGCAGGCTTGAAGAGGAGGGTGCAGGAAACGGGGACGATCGAGACGCAGGGAAAAGAGGACAACGGATGCGTCGACTGAGCGCACGCCGACAGGGGGTCCACACGCCGACAGGGTCGGCGGATTTTTAGCTCGTCGTCCAAAATCCGCCCGTAGAGGGACACGCCCGACCTGACAGCAGTTCGTGCCGGCAGCGCTGCCTGCTTTGCTTCCAAAAGTCGCGGGGAACGTCGGCGGCCATGCGGAGCCGAGCCCTGCAGGGGCGGACCCTGAGCGCCGAGGGCCAGCGTTCGCAGGTGGACAGACCTCCTACCCTGACACGTCGATTACTGAATTGGCCGTTTTCGGTTCGCGAGAGGGCGTCGCGGCCGTCTTTTTGGCGGGTCCAGGTCCGTCGGTGTCGGCCCCAGTTCGTTTTCACTAAGGGGGGGTGTACTACAGGGAGGTTTGTCCACCGCCGAAGCGTGTGGACGCCTCCCTGGCCGAGCGAGCAGGGCGCACAGCAGCGGCAGCTTCCGGGGGGGGGGGGAGATCGGCTCGAGCTCGTCGCCTCGAGGTCCGATGTCTTCGGGCGTTCTCTTGGGCTCTCGGCGGTTTTCAAGCCTCGCGGTGTGCTCCAGCGGCTGCGCCTCGCCCAGAGCGCCGAGGACCAGCGTGCGGATACCCCGCCCCCCAGCGGGCGAGCAGGGCGCACAGCAGCGGCGACTTCCAGGGGGGGTGAGCGTGATTTGTTTCGAGTCATTGTTCTGCCGATCGGCGCTGGCCCCCGCCCCCCCCCCCCTCCCCCCCATGGAGTAGATCTTGGCTGTTCTTGGCGCCTGTTTCAAGCAGGATTGCAAAAAACCCGGATTGCAAAAAAAAACGAGGATTGCAAAAAAAACAGGTTTTTTTTGCAATCCAGGGTTTTTTTTGCAATCCTGGGTTTTTTGCAATCCTGAGTTCCTCCCCCATGGAGCGCACGGTTGCAAACAGCCGCGCCACGCAGAGGTGCGGGGCCAGACCCCCTTCCCCCTTTCCCTTTCTGTCGAAACGCCGAATCAGAAAGCGCTCACCACAGGCTCGAGGTTTCCGGCTCGAGGTTCGATGTGTTCGAGTGTTGTGTTCGTCGGTTCTCGGCCAGTTTCCAGCCTCGGGACGCATTCCAGCGGCTGCGCCCCGCCGAGGGCGTTCTGGGGGAGCCCATATCGTCCCGAAAGGCCGCCAGAGAGCCGAGCTATGGCCCGAAAGCCACGGGGCAACGTTAGGGGGGATGGGCTCAGGGGGGGGAGGATGCAGCGATCCCCAATCGCCCATTCACTACGGATATGGGATTTGGGCCCGCTAGCCCCAACCTGCCCAAGAGCGTGCGGATTCGCTGTCTGGGGCCTATTGCCGATCTCTCGGCGATGTATCGCCGATTCCCCCCCGATCCGGTTGCCCCCAGGCTGGTTACTTTCTGAGCTTTTGAGAAGCCCCGCCCGTTCTGCCTCCACCATGGGCTCAGCGCCAAGCCACCCGCACCCCGTTGCCACGTCTAGATTCGCCTCGAAATCTCTGTCAGAACGCACCCCGAGAGAGGTCGGTGGAGTCGCGGCCTCGGTACCTTCTCACACCCAAAGAGGAGGAAGGACGGGCGGAGGAGGCGGGAGGAGGGGGGGGCGGAGGCCACAAAGGAGGAAAACAGTTGGAACGCACGTGTCGCCCCATGCCCCACGTCGTCACTTGCCCTTGGCGCCCAACCATACCGAAGCAGCATGTCCTCTCCGCAGGGAATCCCACAACGGGGGACGAGGCGAGGAGGATGGCCAGGATGCCAGGTGATGACGAGGAGGAGGAGGAGGAGGAGGAGGAGGAGGAGGAGGAGGAGCAGGGGCAGAGGCAGGGGCAGGAGCAGGAGGAGCAGGAGGAGCAGGAGGAGCAGGAGGCGAGGAGGAGATCGGATGAGGGTGGGGAGAAGGAGGAGGAGGATGAGGAGGAGGACGATGAGGATTTCGAGGAGGGCGAGGATGAGCAGGAGGAGGAGGAAAAGGAGGAGGAGGCGAGGAGGAGATCGGATGAGGGTGGGGAGGAGGAGGCGAGGAGGAGGAGGAGGAGGAGGAGGAGGAGGAGGAGGAGGGGGAGGGGGAGGCGAGGAGGAGGAGGAGGCGAGGAGGAGGAGAGGAGGAGGAGGAGGAGGAGGAGGAGGAGGAGGAGGAAGTGGAGGAGGAGGAGGCCAGGAGGAGATCGGATCGGATGAGGGTGTGGAGGAGGAGCAGGCAGGTGAGAGAAGGGCGATCAGGATATCCGCTCACGCCGTGGGCTGGCCGAGGGGGCCGCGTTCGTTGTGTTCGGCCCCTCGGGTCTCTTCTTGGGCCCTGGGACCGTCAGAAAACTACCTACGTTGGCAACCTGAAAGAGTCGGGACTTCTGAGGACTCCGTCTTGAAGCAAGTCAGGGCGCCAAATGCTTGGGAAGGAGAGCTGGATCGGGAACAGGAACATGACCATGAACATGTGTTCGCAACCGCTACCGCTCACAGCACAGCGGACATTATTTAATCGCTTCGCTCATTCCACCGGCCCTGGAGCCCTCTTTAGGGCCTCGTGGAGGCCTCTTGGGGACCTCTTGGGAGTCTCTTGGGGCTCCTTGGCGGCGTCTTGGGGGCCCCCAGGGCCTCTTTGGGGCTCTTGGGGGCCTCTTGGGGCGGGAGGGGGGGTAGTCGATTGCGGCTCCCCCCTCGGAGGCCACGATCCTCGTGAGGGGTGTAGAAAAATTGCCCGGTGCGGCATCTCTGACCCGAGTCTGCCGGGACCTTGCTGGGGTTCTTTTCGTCCGGGGACCCCCAGGGGCCGCCCCGCGCGCGCGAAGTAGAAGTACTATCGAGCAGTTACCGGAGATCTTAGCACGCTTCTGGCCCGTTGGGCCGGCGAATTCGGTGTAGGTTTGCGAGCGTGCGACGTTCAACAACATATGTACCTTATGTTTCGGGCGAAGCCCCGCATACACAGATGTATGCATAGATGTAATGTATACATATATATGTATATCTGTATACATATTCTCATATATAGACCAGATTGCAGTGGCGCTTCGCGCCGTGCATTCTGGTCCTTGAAGGTTGGCATGCATGCGGAAAGGCACGAAGGTAAGCATGTTCTTCGCGATAAATCATTATTGCCTTTTCCGGCATCGTCGTTATAATATCGTTAATCGTTCTCTATCCGTCATGCGTTTTCTTCCTCTTCCCCTATCCTCCTCGGCTCTTTTTGTTGAGTCTCCTCCTTGGAGAGCCTCTATGGGGCCTCACGAAAGTTGTTGAGGACATTTTGGAGCCTTCTGGAGGCCTCCTGGGTGCCTTCTGGGTGCCACTGGGGTCTTCCTCGGGCCACCCCACTTCAACCGCGGTCTGCCTGAGCGACCAGGTCACGATTTAGAATGTTTCGGGGGGGCATCTTGGCGCTGTTTTGGGCCGTCTTGGGGCTAAAATCGGGCCATATCGGAGCCCTGTTGGGCCGTCTTGGGGCTCTCTTGGACTGCCTGGAAGCCCATTCGGGTAGTTTTGGGGTGAGTTTCGGGCCTCCTGGGCGGCCTCGGACGCCCTGAAGACCGAAGAACAGAGCATTCCCAACACTATGCACAAATCAATGGGGAATCATGTTTTCTGCGTCCAGAAAGCCTCTTGGGCTCTTCTTTGGGTCGTCTTCGGGCGTCTGGTGGTTGTCTGAAGCCTCTGGGGGCTCTCGGGAGCCCGTTCGGCCGCCCTCCCGACCGTTTTTGGCCAGCTGTCCAGGCCCAGCAGGAGCTTCAGGAGCTCCGGGAAGCGGGACCCTCAGCAGGGGCGTCCAGGGGCGAGCGCGCCGGAGCGGCGCCGGAGGCGCCGCCAGGGGGGTTCAGCGCCGATCCGAGACATTCGCGCGGACCTTCGAGTCCCTAATATAGGAAAATCGGGGGCGGACAGAACCCCCAACAGTGACACGTCGTTTAGTGAATTGTCCGTTCTCGGTTTTCGAGAGGGCGCCGTGGCCGTCATTTTCCAGGCTTGCGCCCGCCAGGTTTGGGCCTCAGGTCGTTTTCACTAAACCACGTTTTACTAAAGGGAGGTCTGTCCATCTCCGAGAAAAGGGAGACGTGCGTCTTCCACGGAGGAAAGGCTTCGGTAGCCTCAGGGCACGGACGGCTCGCTGCAGAGTTTCTCGAGCGAGCTCCCTTCCGCGCGCCGGAGCGGCCGCGGCGCCCCCCCCCCCTCCGCCATCCTCCCGTCTGCGTCTGCTCTCGGATACCTTGGAGCACAGGAAACATTCAACCCTGAGGAGGAGAAGGAGGAGGAGGAGGAGGAGGAGGAAGTGGACGAGGAGGAGGAGGTGGCGAGGCCGGGGAGGGTGGGTAGCAGGAGAAGGAGGAAAGACGGTGAGGAGGAAGGAGCAGGAAGATGAGGCAGGGAGGAGGAGGAGGAGAAGGAGAAGGATGAGGACGAGGAGGAGGAGGCAGGGAGGAGGAGGAGGAGGAGGAGGAGGAGGAGGAGGAGGAGGAGGAGGAGGAGGAGGAGGATGGGGAGGAGGGGGAGGAGGTGTGCAGGCCCGCGAGCGGGCCAACGCTCGGCAGGTGGCTCCCACGGGCCCTGATAGCGCTTTTCCGCTATTTTGCGGTGCTCTGTCACACGCCCCTCTCGTGCCCTGGGCCCCCAGGTCTCATGCACATCGACGCGGCAGCACCCGGACCGTTTCTCAACTGGCGAGGAGGAGGGGTTGGCACGAAGGACTCGGGCCCTGGGACCAGCTCTTCATCCTGAGTCGTCTTGTCGACAGGCCCGAAGACCTGGGAGGGCCCCCAGAGCCCCGAAAACCGAGTACAACGTCGAAAAGGGCTTGCCTCAGCTTGGCATCGCTGGGACGTGCGCGTTCTTTCTCGGCGAGGACCATCGAGGAGCATCCTGGATCATCGAGCAAACAAGCACGCAAGAAATCAAAACGCACAGGGAATGGACGTCCGAGCGATGGCGAGTCAGGGCCCAGGGCGCCGGCGAGCAGCGGCCGTGGGGGCGCCGCGCGGCGGCCGCCGGGGGTCCCGCGGGCTCCGCCCGGCGGCGGCGCGACCGTCAGGCTGCCGCCGAGCACCCTGAAGGCGCTGAAGGCACTGCGGCCGGGGGCCCTCCTCGCCCGTCGTCTTGGCGGTGCGTCGCTCCGGCTCTCGGTGTTTCCCTGTGGCTCTCGGTTCTCGTTCCGTCCTGGAGGGCTTTCACCGTGTGCGTCCACAGCTGAGCACGACGTCATGTCCATGCCACCGTCCCCACTTACCGCCACCTCGTCTGGGCCCGCCGCGGGGAGAGGAGGAAGAAAAGTACCACCACAAGGACAGACGAGGAAGAGGAGGAGGAGGAGGAGGAGGAGGAGGAGGAGGATGAGAATCATACAAGAAGGACGGTGAGGAGGATCATGTCGACGAGGACAGGCCAGAAGGAGGTGGAGTGGAACAGGACAGGAGAGCGACGAGGAGGTCGAGGAGGAACAGGAGAGGCCCCTCGCGCAGGTTTGAGAGAGCAGTTCTTCACGCTCTCGGGGCCCTGGATACCTGTCTTCTGGGCGGCGTTGTCGTAGGATTGGCGATCGAAGGTCGATGGGAGAACACGATGACACGATGAACGCCACAGTCGCTGGATCGATGGGAGAACACGATAAAACGATGAACGCCACCGTCAGTGGGCGAACGAACAAGCCAAAAAAGTGAATCGGAGGAGTCGGGGGGCGAGGGGAGGGAGCGAGGCAGGAGGAAGAGGAGAGAAGGAGGAGAAGGGGAAGGAAGACGAAAATAAATAGGATCATAATAATGAGATTACAAAGGAGGAGGAAGAGGATAATAAGAGTAGGAGGAATACATCGGAGGTTGGGGGGTGAGATCGAAGTGGAACGAAGAGCTCCCCACCGGGAAATCGGTTTCGGTTTCGTGTTCGTGCGTGCCGTGCGTGCGGGCGAGGCGAAGCTGCGTGGGCGGGCGAAAAGAACGTCTCCTGTTGCTGAGGCGCGGCCGGGCCAAATGATTCTACCTCCGGCAAGCGGTGGCACGCGGTGTCCCGCCGGTGTCCCGCCGGCGTCCCGGTGCCCAGCTGGTGCGAAAACGATAGTGAGACCGCGCAGTGTCCCGCTGGTGCGAAAACGATAGTGAGACGCTGTGAGGTATCCGCCGCCGGCCTGCTCCCGACGATGCTCGACCGCGCGGTGCCGGAGAAGCAGCATCCCCGAAAGGCTAAGAGGCACCCAAGAGCCCCCCAAGAGGCCTCCAAGACCCCCCAAGAGGTCCAAAAGACGCGCCCAAACGGCCCCCCAAGCCCTTGCAAAATGAACTAAATAAATTATGAGTTCGTTGGTTCACGGGGGGGGGGAGAATGATACCAAGCCGCCCAAAAGCGAAGGATGACGTAAACAACTCGACACCAAGGCTCCCGAGAGCGAGTGGCGACGCAACAATCACCACTGTTGCCCATCGCTGGCCCACCTCCCCCCCCAACCTCCTTATCACCCGCAGGGTGGTAGTATAGGTATTTATAATATGTATTTATAAAAATAGAATCCTCATCCTCCACGAGGAGGAGGAAGAGGATAATGAGATCGACATACGCCCTGGCAGCCACTGGTTCCAAGAGGGGGCCGGCCGCGTGGCGTGGGCCAGCGAGTCATGTTCAGGCTATTCAGGCCGGTCGCTCTTCGCTGCTTGCGTGTCGTTCAGCATGTGTTCCCCCAAACCTTATGATCCGCCAGCCTGCCTGGGCCTCGATCGCCAGAGAGACATTCGAACGCCAGCAAAAGGTGCCGAACCTTAAGGGTTTTCACGTGTCGGGCCCTGGGATACACTGTTTCGGCACTGTTTCGGCACCGTCTCGACATTTTTCCGGGTGCTCGAAATTATGTCTGGGATGTACTCCTTAAGCACGATGGGCGCAACATAACCAAAACCATTGATAGAGGAAAACAGTTATTTAACACTCTCCCTCCCCCCAAAAACTCAAAGTTGGCACGTCGCGGGAGAAATTGCGGTCGAGGTGCACATCATCGGACCCACCGCCAACTTGGAACCTTGGGGGGGGGAGGGGGAGGCGTTGACAGATGAATGTGGCATGAGCGTTCGCTATTTTTTTCCGTATCCACCCTCGTCTTAGATCGGCCCTCTTTTGGGGGGTATTTGTTCCTCGTCTGCCACGTGCAGTTGGCGCGGCCCCCCAAGCAGGAAGAGAGTTTTTGGGTGGAGGGCGAGCGGTGCAATCTGGCATACCGCTGCGATTGATCTTCGAGGCTTGAGCCTGCAATGGGCGAGTCACGAGACGGACGGACATTCGAGGTGCAAAAGCCCATATGGATCTCACCATGAGCCCTCCGCCCTAAGAAAATGCCCAGAAACGGAAAACGGGTGACAGTGAGGAAGGCAGCCTGACGGGCGGGCTGGCCTTGAGTCTGCAATGGGCGAGTCACAAGACGGACGGATATTCGAGGTGCAAAAGCCCATATGGATATCACCAGGAACCCCCACCCTAAGAACATGCCCAGGAAAAAAAGGAAAATGGGAGACACTGAGGAAGGCAGCCTGACGGGCGACGGGCGGGTCGGGCGCGCGGACCCCAACGGGCGGGCCAGGCTGGCGGACCCTAGTTAACGGGCGGGTCGGGCGGGCGGGGGCCTTGACGGGCGGGCGGGGCATGGCAGCGAATTCTGTACATGGTGGCGAAGGCTCGGGCGAGAGTACGATTCAAAGGCAGAAAAAACGCCCCGACCCTGGTTTACGAGGCGCTGTGCGCTGAACCTCCTGTGGGCTGACAGGGTAAACCATGCGTGATGTGCCGCGTCCTGGCGGCTCTAGGCTTTGGGGGTTCCCAGGAGGTTTACAGACCGCGCACTTTTAACCCAGGGTAGGGCCGTTTTTCCATCCCTCAGATTCTAGGATACATTTAGGATGTATCTTGCGCGAACACGATTTCTAGACTCTTAGCCGTCCAGGGCGCAGCGTCTGAGTTAATGGCAGGGAAGTCCAGAAGGAGAACACGCTTGCAGTGCAGATTGTAAGGAAGTGTTGGGCGAAAAGGGCGATACCGCAATACATGGGGATCAAGAATCAAGCGGGATTGGTTGTTTTATTTGCATTTTTGGGAAATGTTGGTTCTTGACCCCTCCTCCGGTACACTTTGCGCTTCTAAATATAAATCTCCCTCTCCGTGCTCGCAGCGTGTTTTTCGTCGGGGAATGTTCTGAGGCTCGAACTGAGCTCCTGGCCCCAAGTTTACAACACCAGAGGCTCCCGTCTGATAGTTCCTGGGTATGGATGGAAGATTCGCGGTCCTGGTCGAGACTTCCTCCCAATTTGCTTAAGATCGCGCTCTCGCGTGTGATTCCCTTGCAAGTCATTCAAGCGCCGCGCCTTTGATACTCAGGATTCGCGGTCTCACCTGGGATGTCCTGACGATTTACTCACGACTGGTCTTGCGTTTTCCTCAGGAATGGCGGTCCCGCTCTGGACTTCCTCGCAGATTACCTAAGAATGGCGATCTTGCTCGGAAGCTCCTAGCAATTTACCCTGGGATCGCGGTCGCCACTCGCTAGGGCCCGCACGCTAGGGCCCGCAGTCGCCATTCGCTGCCGCTTTCATGGACTGCCCGCCCGACCCGCCTGTTAGTATTCGTCCGACCTGCCCGCATGCGTCACTTTCTTGTACTTTCTTGTTCCCAACCATCCTGTGGTGTGGGGTTCCCGTTTTGATGAGGCAGCGCCCCGCGTCCTCTTTCCTCCTCCTTCCTCCCATCCTCCCCCTCCTCCTCTCCCCCACTTTGGCACACCCCTCACACGCTTCGTGGTCGCATAGGGAGCTCCACCGAAGGCCCAGATGCCAACGCTCGCATGCGCCCCCTACTTTGGTACACCTTTCACACGTTTTGTGGCCCCATTGGGAGCTCCGCCAAAGGCCCAGATGCCAGCGCCCGCATGCGCCCACCGCACCCATTTTGGTACACCCTTCACACGTTGTGTGGTCCCACAGGGAGCCCCACCGAAGGCCCAGATGCCAACGCTCGCATGCGCCCACCGCAGCCATTTTGGCATACCCCTCATACGTGTTGTGGCCTCAAAGGGAGCTCCGCCGAAGGCCCGCCCAGATGCCAGCGCTCGCATGCGCCCACTGCACCCATTTTGGTACACCCCTCACACGCTTCGTGGCACCGTAACCGACGGCCCACATGCCAACGCTTGCATGCGCCCACCGCACCCATTTTGGCACACCCATCACACGTTTCGTGGTCACATAGGGAGCTCCACCGAAGGCCCAGATACCAGCGCTCGCATGCGCCCACCGCACCCATTTTGGCACACCCTTCACACGTCTTGTTCCCACATAGGAAGCTCCACCACAGGCCCAGATGCCAGCGCTCGCATGCGACCGCCGTATCCATTTTGGTACACGCACACGTGGCCACATAGGGAGCTCCACCACAGGCCCAGATGCCAGCGCTCGCATGCGCCCACCGCGCCCATGTTGGGACATCCCTTAATCCCTTCTTGGCCCCACAGGGAGCCCCGCCGAAGGCCCAGATGCCAGCGTTCTCACGCGCCCACCGCACTCATTCTGGCACACCCTCACTCACACGTTTCGTGGCCCCATAGGGAGCTCCACCGAAGGCACAGATGCCAGCGCTTGCATGCGCCTACCGCGCCCATGTATGCTGGGACACCCCCTACACGTTTCGTCGCCCCATTGAGAACTCCACCGAAGGCCCAGATGCCAGCGCTCGCATTCGCCCAACGCACCCATTTGGGCACACCCTCCACACGTTTCGTGGCCTCAAAGGGAGCTTCGCCAGATGCGGCGCATACAACGGCAGTACCCCCATTTGCACATGGGTAGGGTCTTTCGCCAGACTAATTTTCCTACTCCACTCTCCCTCCTGTCCTGCTAGTCTCTGTCGTCCTCCATCCCCTTACCTCCCCGTTGCCCCTGCACTCCTCCCGCCCTTTCCGCAATTCTGTTCCTCCTCGCTCTGTTTGTTTTTGCTCTTCCCCTGTGTGTTTTAGGGGCTGCGCCGTCTGCGCGTGGCAGGTCAGGAAGACATACCTTCCACCAGGGGTACGTTCGAGGGCGAAGAGGGCGGGTATCGAGGGCGTGCGTATGAGACACGCGCGCGTATGAGAAGGATCAGTTTCAACACGATTGAAGCAGACTTACTAAGCAATCAATGTTGTTTGACTCTCCTATATGCGCCAAAGCGTGCCATTCAACACGTATATCCGGAACCCTTGGTACCAGCCCATTTCGTCTTCGATCGTACCCCCTTGGGCGTATACCTTCCTTGCCTGCCACGTGCATTTAGCGCAGCCCCTAGAACAGGTGACGAGATGGTGGATGGAAGTGGGAAAAAGAAGGATGGAACACGAGAGAAATTAGTAGGAGAGGGGCCAGGAGCAGAAACAATGTGGCAGATCCAAACGGGGAGATCGGGCGGGCAGACCCTAGCATGCGGGTCTGGAAGGCGGGCCTAGGCGGACAGGTCGACCAGTCGGGTTGCTGAAGCGTGAGTCCTCCGTGAATCGCGAGGAAGTCTCTAAGCGATAGCTCGATTCCTCAGGAAATAATGAGAAGGGCCAGAGCCAGTGCGTGATTCCTGGGTGTCGAGGGCGCGGCGTGTGAATCAGTTGCGAGGAAGTGCCACGCAAGGTCGCGATTCCTGTGTAGCTTGTGAGGAAGTCCTGCGGGAGGGCGCGATTTAGAAATAACTTGAGAGGAATAGTCAGGTGGGAGCCGCTGTTGTTGTAAAGTGGGGGCCAGGGACTAAGTTTGAACAACAATATGTTATTCGTTAGAAAGCAGTGCGAGAGCCCCCGGAGGAGCTCCTCAATTGAAAAACGCAATGTGCACCCGTGGGGTGGTATAACAGTAATTCGCTATCATGAGTTATCATGAGCGTGGGCTCGACAACCACAACAGTCACACTCATCGTGAGACTTTCCGCTCTTATCTGTTCGCGTGCCATTCAACACGCATATCCCAAACCCCCGGTACCCGGCCTCTCCGTCTTCGATCGCACCCCGTTAGGGGTATATTTTTCTTACCTGCAACGTGTGTGTCGTGCAGTTCCCAGGGCAGGGAAAGAGAGGAATGATGTACGGAAGGGACACGGTGGAGGGAGGAGGATGGAGCACGGCATTCGCAGGAGAGGGAGTCCCGCGCGAGATCGCGATTTCGAAATACACTGTGAGGCACCATCAGGCGAGAGCCGTTGTTATTGTGAACAGGGGGGCCAACAAATCAGTTTGGTGACCCCACACGTTCCATTGTAAACAACAGGATGCGAGCCCCGGGAGACGCATTTTGATTGAAAAATATAATCACCACCAGAGATGGATCAGAATTTCCCATGTAAGGATGAAACAGCAACGCATATGATTTTAAGACTGTTCGCACTTACCTGCTCGCGCCCCGTTCGACACGTACATCCCAAACCCTCGGTACCCGCTCTTTCACTTTCGACCGTGCGCCACTGGGCTCATATCTTCCCCACCTGCCGCGTGTAATCGAAACGGTTCCTGAAACAGGGGAAGGGGGCCGATGGAAGGGGGAGGGCGGAGGATGGACCAAGGCATTAGCAGGAGAAGGGGTTCGGAGCAGGAAACACGTGGCATAACCAGACGGGCACATAGGGCAGATAGACTCTAACGGGCGGGTCGGGAAGACGCGCCCAGGCGGCCAGGTCGAGCAGGCGGGTTGCTGAAGCGCGTGCTGCATGAATCGCGAGGACAGCTTGAGCGATAGTGCGATTGATTTGGATATCGTGAGAAAGGCCAACACAAAGTCGTGATTCCTGAGTGACGATGGCGCGGCGTGTGAAACAATTGTGAGGAAGTGCCACGCGAGAGCACGATCCCTCCATTGCTTGTGAGGAAATCCCACGCGAGAGCGCGATTTTGGAATAAGCTGTGGGGAACTATCATGCGGGAACCGTTGTTGTTGTAGCTCGGGGCCCAACACGGGGCCCAACAACATAGCTTGGTGACCCCACACTTTCCATGATAAAAACCGGGTGCGGGCTCCGAGTGGGGTACTTCAACTGAAAAATACAACGGTGACCGGAGGGGGGATCAACTATATTCATTCTCCAGCATGGAGAATTCAACAAAAACGCTCCCGCGCGATATCTCCCACCAGTTTACCATTCAACAAGTTGCGTAACAGTATAGCGTTAATTGGTTTAGGAGTTATTTGCTGTAATGCGCGCTGTAAACACATACAGACATATTTGCGACGGGCACTAATACTCCAGACCCGCGCGTGGCACGACTGCTAATCTGAATCGAACCTATGCACTTGGGAAAAATTGATTGCGGAAGCAATTGCCATATCGATTTCCGAATTTAGCAAGGATTCCGAATCGTAGAACAATTCGAGTCCGAGTTGAAGAGATTTGCGTACCAAGTTCCATGTAAGCGTGATGTAAAATCGCAGAGGACGTCTTATCATATTTGCCAAGGATTGCTGTGTCCAGAAAGAAACATGGACTTGGAGATGAATGTGTAGATGAACTGCCAGACGTAGAAGCGATATCGAATCGCGGCGGAATCGGAATCTGATTTGCCAGAGTTTGACATGTGTCAGAGACGAATATTCAGTTGGCGAGAGACTTACAATTGAATATACAGAGCTAACAAGGACTTTCCAAGAGCGTTCTAACTCTTGGGAATTCAAATGCAATTATTTCTTCAACACAGTAGTTTTACCGTGGCCCTGGTAGCCTTAGTCAGTTATTGAATCGTTTCGCTCAATCCGCCGGCCCACATTACGCGCCTTTATCGACTGACCGAGTGGTCTTTCGTGGTGCGGAGTTGCAGGGGCGGCGGCTGTTTTTATCAGGCTTTGAGGGCCTCCCCGAGGCCTCTTGGAGCCGAGAGCTCGAAACGTCTGTTCGCGTTCCCCGTCTGGGCTTTCTCTTGGAGCCGTTTTGAGAGGCTCCTGGGCCGTCTTGGATGCCTCTGGGGCTGTCTTGAAGCTCTCTTGGAATCGATCTGGGCTCCTCCTGGAGCGTGGTCGGGCTCCTCCTGAACCCTCTCGGGCTGTTTTGGGGCGATCTTGTAAGCATCTGCGGCAATCTTGGAGCCCGGGGAAACGGAAAATGCGAGAACGGCAAACTCGTTGAAAAACGCATAGGGGATTCTGTATTTTTACTTATGGGGGCGCTCTCTCGGGAGGCTTCTTGGTGGCCGCTGGGGGAGTCTTGAACGCGTCGCGGGCCGTCTGGAAGCGTTTTGCCTATGGGGACTCTTTCGGGAGGCCTCTTGGTGGCCTCTTGGGGATTTTTTAGCGCGTCGGGTCGTTGGCACTTGCTTGCGTGCTCGGGGGGGGCATTTGGGGGGCCTCCTGGGGCCGCTTGGGCTTGGGGGCCTCTTGGGGCTCTCCTGAGGGCCTCTTGGGGCCTCTTACGGGCCTCTTACGGGCCTCATGGGGACTTCAGGGGGCGTCCTAGGGCCGAGGGCTCGAAATGTTGTTTCGTGATCCCCCCCTGGGACCTCTCTTGGGCCGTCTTGGAGGCCTCTTGGGCCGTCTTGGAGCCCCCCCTCCAGCAAAAGGATAACGCTTCTCCCGCACCGGAAGCGTTATTCCGGCTCTCGCCTTAGTGCCGCGCGCATTCGTTTCAAACATTTGCAAAAGGTTCACGGATTGAGGGCGGTTCGTTTTCAGAATGTGGTTCTCGCTTGAGCGCCGCGCACATTCGTTGCAAACATTTGCAAGAGTTTCTCGGATTGAGGGCGGCTCGTTTTCAGCATGCGGTTCTCGCCCGAGCGCCGCGCGCATTCGTTTCGGAAACGCGGCAGAAGTTTTATTGATTGAGGGCGGTTCGTCTTTAACATGTTGCTATCGTTTTAGCGCCGCGCGCATTCGTTTTGCAAACGTGGCAAGAGCTTCACGGAGGGAGGGCGGGCCATTTCCACAGTGAGGTTCTCGCCTCACCGCCGCGCACATTCGTTTGGAAAACGCTGCAACAGCTTCGCGTACTGAGGGCGGCTCGGTTTCAAAGTGTTGTTCTTGCTTTAGCGCCACGCACATTCGTTTTGAAAACGTTGCAAGAGCTTCACAGATTGAGGGCTGGCAGTTTTCAAAGTGTGGTCCTCGCCTTGGCGCCGCGCACATTCGTTTCAAACACGTCGCAAGGGTTTCACGGATGGAGGGCGACTTGTTCCTAAAATGTTGTTCTCGCCTCAGCGTCCCGCGCATTCGTTTCAAAAACGTGCAAGAGCGTCACGGATTGAGGGCGGTTCGTTTTCAAAATGTAGTTCTCGCCTTAGCGCCGCCGCTCGGCCCCCCCCCCACCCTGACGAAGCAGCGCTTCGACTGCGCAGCGAGAAGGCCTCCCGAGGCTTACGATGTTCCAACCGACCTTAGCCTTGACCGCCAGGAAGACTTTCGAGCACCAGGGAAGTACTGAAAGTGGAGGGCCCTGGGAGGCGACGTTCGCTCGACCCTGCCTCGATACTCTTCTGGGTGCTCGAAATAATGCATGGGATGTGGACCTCAAGTGCGACGGGCCAGCGGCGAGCGAGCGGGGGAAGTGAGAAGGGGCGGGCCTTCTCAGAAGTCTCGGAAGTTCCCCCGCCTTCTGAGAAGTTTTCTGAGCCTTCCCCGAAGACAGAAAGAGCTTCCCAGAAGGCGCGAGGGCTTCTAAGAAGTCCCGCCGCCTTCTAAGAAGGCATTCTCCTTCTCATTTCCCCCCGCTCGCCGCCAAATGGGAGCGGCACAGCCCGAGGCGTCGCTCGACGGCTTCCTCGCCCGCGGGCTGCCCCAGCTGCGGCCGCACTGCGCCGCGGCGCTCGCGGCCGCCCTGCGCGGCCCCGTCGACGCCCTCGGGAGCCGCGCGGGCCGTGGCCGCGGCCGCCGTCGCCTGCGGAGCCGCCGCCGCCTGCCGCCGCCGCCGTCGTCGTCTTCGTCGTCGTCGTCGTTGCGTCGCCGTCGTCGTCGTCCTCCTCGTCGTCGTCGTCCTCCTCCTCCTCGTCGTCGTCGCCGTCGTCGTCGTTGTTGCGTCGCCGTCGTCCTCCTCCTCCTCCTCCTCCTCCTCCTCGTCCTCCTCGTCGTCGTGGTCGTCGTCCTTCTCGTCTCGTCGTCGTCGGCGTGGACCGCGCGCGGGCCCTTGCCGTGGCCGCCCGCCGCCGTCGTCTGCGGAGCCGCCCGCCGCCGCCGTCGCTGCCGCCTGCCGCCGCCGCCGCCTGCGGCCAGTCGGCCCCCCCGTCAGCCGAAGAAGAGGAAACGCCGTGAGCATAAACGCGCGGCGCTCGGAGCGGATTTCTTGGATCTGCCCTGGGTCCCCCCGGCGGCGCCTCCGGCGCCGCCCCTGGCGCGCTCCGCGCGCCGGGGAGGGGGGTCCAGCGCGGATCCGAGAAATCCTCGCGGAGCGCCAGAAGTCTGTGTTGTGCCGTTTCTTCTTCTTCTTCTAGGCAAGGGGCTTGGCATCGCTCGGACGTGTGCGCTTTTCTCGGCGAGGATCCTCGAAGAGCATCCCAGAGCATCGAGCCAAAAGATAAGACACGCACGGAACACCGCACAGCGCACGGGAAGTGGACGGCGGAGCGACGGCAAGGGCAGGGCACGCCCACCAGACCCCCCGTGCCTGGCGATGGCTGAGCAGCCCCGGGCGTTTACTGGAGCAGCCCTGGCACGTTCGGCGGTTTCCCCCCAGGATGCGCTACGTCCTGTGGCGCTCGCAGGCTTCTGTGGTGTTCAGAGGCACGCTGTGCTGTGGTCTTCGTGAGAGGAAGCGGTTGCGTGCCGCATGGTGCTCTCAGGGACGCAGTGTTGTTATGTTTCTGAGAGGCATTGGTGCGTCCATGGTAGCGCGGCAGAGCTGTGGTGCATACAGGCCCTGGAGCTCACCAAACGCGCGTCTCTGCTGTCTCGGGGTGCTGAAGACGCGGGTGGTGGACCTTCCGTTCTCCACTCGGGACCGCGCGCGAGCCCGCCGCCTTCGCGCGCCGCAGGCCCTGGCCGCCGCCGGCGCGCCGTCGCTCCGAGGCCTTCGACGCGTTGCAGATCAGCACGAACGTTAAGTCGGGCCTGTCCCTCTACAGGGGGTGTATCCAAAAATAGTCAAACAATATTCAGGGGACGATGTTTTGAATATTTTTGTATTATTTTGAATATTTGTGTGGACTGTTCTGTAGTTTTGGGCCAGAATCCCCCTGTAGGGGGACAGGCCCGACCTAACACGAACGACATGCGTACGGAAAGAACGGGTACACTGCCCAACAGCAGTTGCTGTTCATTTTGAACCGGACTCGCTGTCCGCGCCGCCGCGGCCTGTGTCCACTTGACAAGCAGAAAGCCGGCTGCCCGACAGCGGCCGCCGCTGGTCTGGGACAACATTTGCTGTTGGGCTTTCTGCCCATTTTTCCGTACTCGTTTCGGGCGTCCAGAGACCAGACACCGAGACGGCAGTCTCGCGCGCGCGTGGTTGCGCCCGCTTGGCATCGCTCGGACGTGTGCTTTTTTCCTTCGGCGAGGACCGTCGAGGAGCATCCTTGATCATTTGGCGAAAAAACCACGCACGAAACCGAAAAAAGCACAGGGAATGGACGTCCGAGCGATGGCCAGCGTTTCCGGCGTCCAGAGAGCAGACACCGAGACGGCAGTCTCGCGCGCGCGTTTTTGCGCCCGCGAGCAGCCGCGCGAGGCAGGCTGCGCGCCGCGCGCGAGCTGCCCTCCGCGGGGAGCGCGCCGCCGCGCGGCGCCTCCTCCCCGCGCTGGGCCCCGTCGGCGGCCCGCGGCCCCGGAGAGGCGGCTCCCCGCGCGCGCCCTCGCCGTGCGCCGCCCGTTCTGGGAGAGGGGAGAACAGAACCCCCAACAGTGACACGTCGATTAGTGAATTGTCCGTTTTTGGTTCTCGAGAGGGCGCCGTGGCCGTTATTTTCCAGGCTTGCGCCCGCCAGGTTTGGGCCTCAGGTCGTTCTCACTAAACCACGTTTTAACAAAAGGGGGGTCTGTCCATCCCCAACCATGCCAACGTCGTCGATGCATCGCCAACATCGGCGCCCATCTACTCCGACCCAATCCGAGAGGCCTCTAAGGGCGCACCTCGGGAGAGCCCTTGCATCTTAGAAGGCACGGGCCTTGTCTATGGATGTAAGACCGGCGTCTTCCAAGCAGCGGCCTCTTTCTCAGAAGCCTTACCTTTCTCCCCCTGCCCCCGTGTGCGCGCGGCCAACAGCTGCAGCTCCTCGCTCACGTAATTACTTGATGAAGCACTCCGTCGACTCCGTCGACTCCGAGGTCGCCTGCGCCACGTCGCGGGCGGCCCCGCCGGTTGCCAAACTCGGATCCTCCGCGTATTTGTCGAGCCTCGTGTCCCTGGTCGTCGTTTATATCCCGACTTCCTGGTGCCTTCGACGATCTGCATATTTGCACGCTGGCAGTTCGACTCGGTTTCAGTTCCTCCTGCCACCCGCCCGCCGCTGGGCCGCCGCGTGAGGCCTCGGCTTGCCGCGTTAGTTGTAGCCTTGTTCGCGCCGCCTCTGCCTAATTAGTCTCTGCGTAGCCCGCTTTGACCTGACTCGCCGCCGGCGCGCTCGCCCGCGGCCGCTGACTAAACAAGTATTTGTCGAGCCTCGCTTCCAGGCATCGCGCGGCCCTCTGGCGCGATCGCCGAAATGACCGTCGCGCAGTCGTTGTGGCAACCGTCGATCGTGATCGCGCGGGAGAGGAAGCAGCTGACCAGCATCGGCCGGAGCACGCGAGGAGGGAAGCCCCAACGCAGCCCCTGTCGCCGCACGTGGCACGGATGGACTTTCTCAAACTGCAGCATGTGACAAGATCCAACCGCACCGTGGTGATTGTTTTTTGTGTATTGTTTTACCGACGGGCGCGGGCTCTCGCATCCCCCCCCCCTGGAGTGGATCTCGGCTGTTTTTGGCGCCTGTTTTTGGCGCCTGCTTCAGGCGGTGGGAGCCTCTCCCCCATTGGACGCACGGCTGCAGACCGTCGCACTAAGCAGAGGTCCAGGGCCAGACACCCCCCCTCTCCCCCTTTCCGCCCAATATCGAAACGCCGAATTTAAAAAACGCTCACGTGGCGACGGCCGGGCTCTCGGGCCCCTCCCCCAAGTCCATTGCGTCCTCCTCGACTTGTGATGTTCCAACCGACTTTAGCCTGTTGATCACCAGAAAAAGAATGTCGAGCACCAAAACACTGCCGAAACTCGAGGGTTTTCACGTGCTGGGCCCTGGGAGACACTCGTCCGACACTGGTTCGACACTCGTTCGAAACTCTTTCGACACTCTTCCGGGTGCTCGAAATCATGTCTGGGAGGTGGTCCTCAAGTATCTGGACCCCCCGAAATGGGTACGGAAAGAATGGGTACAATGCCCAACAACAATTCCTGTTCGTTTTAAGCAGGATCCGCTGTCCGCGCCGCCGCGGCCTGTGTCCATTCGAGACAGAAGGCCGCCCGCCCAACAGCGGCCGCTGCTGGTTTGGGACAACATTTGTTGTTGGGCATTGTGCCCATTCTTTCCGTACCCATTTCGGGCGTCCAAAGAGTGCGATGGGAGCAACAGAATCCTCGACGAATTGCCTCCACGCCGCGTTCTCTGTCTGCCGCGCTCCCCTCGGCGTGCCCCGTCGCCGTCGTCGCGCTCGGCCCGGCGGAGCCCGCTTGTGCGACCAACAGGGGCAGCGAGCGGCCTCCCACGGGTGCACCACCGTGGGCATCTTCACCAGTGTCCAGGAGGGGAAACAACACACAGACACAATTCATCGTCGACTCACAAGAGATATGGGAAAACATAGGGGAATGGTGGGGGAGACGAAAACCAGAAGGGGAAGCGAACGTCCTCCCACGGATGCACCAACGTGGGCATCTTCACCAATGTCGGGGGAGCGTAAGACACGGGTTTGCCAGGACTCGGGTTCGCCATCGTTTTTTGACGACCGCGCCTCGGATTTTGACGAGGAGGAGTTTCGTGGGATGTCTGCAGCGGGAGGCCTCGTCAAAATGCAGGCTCGGCCTTGTCATTTTTTTGACGACCTCGTCGGGGATTTCCGAGTCCCCTGTACCCGGGTCTTACGTCCCCCTGACAATGGTCAGGAGGGGAAACAACACACAGGCACAATTCATCGTCGACTCACGAGAAAATATGGGGAAATATAGGGGCATGGTGGGGGAGACGAAAACCCAGAAAGTGTGGAAAGACATAGGGAATCCTGGGATTCGTGTCTATCCATTTGTGTGCCCCTGGGTCCCTCTAAATGGGGCGCGTGCCAGACTCTGCCTTCGGGATGCGCAGATATACAGGAAGCGCCACTTGGGACGGCCAGGCCAGCGACGCCTCCACCCTGTGCAGCAGCGTGACGACCATGTCGACGCTCCCACGGGTGCACTGCTGCAGCACTTGCGCGTTCCATCGCTCCAATTACCCTTAAGCCTGTCGTAGCCTTGAACTGGCCACTCGCCTGTCTCAGCGCCGCAGCGTCCAGCAACGCCAGCCGATCGTCCGACGCGGCGCCGGGCAGCCTGGGCCGCACCTTATCCTTGATCTCGGCGACCTCGGCCTGCCAGATGCCTTGTCGGGAGGAAGGGGGGGGAGCAGAGGAGAGAGCAGGAGAAGAGGAGGAGGAGCAGCAGCAGCAGCAGCAGAACGTAGAGGAGAAACAGCGGGGAGGAGGAGGGCATGGGGAGGAGACGGACGGCCAGGAGGGTCACTTTGATGACCATGGGTCCGTTAAGCTGGCAGCTCAGCCTACCTTGCAAACGAATGAGGCTCGGGGTAGAAGATAGGTTTGATTTCTCCCCTTTAGAAGAATCACGCTTTGGCGCGACACGCTAACCACGCCCTGGTCCCTTAGCGCCAACATCTCAAGCACTTTCCGGCCTCCCACCCCCCCTGGAGCGGAGCGACGTGCTGTGCGCTCGCAGGGCATAGTGTGTCGCCAGCGCCGCCACCGCAACACGCTAAGCAACAGTTTTTGACCGTAGGGGGACAAGGCACCAGACATGCGATGCCTTGATTTTCAAGACGGTCGGACAGAAGTACAAGATCGAGGTCGGTTCGGGGAGGCTGGCCTAATGTTCTTCGTATGTGCTGAATGTTCTTGTGCATCCTTGGGGATGGTGCCCTCGAATGTTTTTTCGTTTGGCTGGCGGAGGGTCTTTTGTTTTTTGAGGGAAATTCTTATGTCTCAGGTCCCCCGAAGTCCCGACCCTTCCCCCGGGGCTGGTTTTCCTCCTGAACCGTTTTCTGACGGTCTTGGGGCTTGGCGAGAGCCTCTGGAGGCAGACATGGCCAGGTGCCGGGATGAGGAGACGGCGCCGGTCAGGAGCGTCACCGGGGGCATCACGCTCCGCGCGTTGCTGGAGGAGTTGCTGCGCGCCCTCGGCCCGGGCGGGTGCGCGGGGCGCGGGGGAATCGAATCTCTGAGGGCGTTGGTATCCATTCCTCGGGGAGGAGAGGGACTAGCAGGAGGACGAGGAGGAAGAGGAAGAGGAGGAGGAGGACGAGGACGAGGACGAGGACGACGAGGAGGGGGAGTTGGAGGCCAGCTGGACAAATTGCAGACCACCTCGGATTCAGGGCGAAGGAGGAGAAGAAGGGAGGGGTGTGAGGAGGAGGAGGAGGAGGAAGAGGAGGAGGAGGAGGAGGAGGAGGAGGAGGAGGAGGAGGAGAAGGAGGAGGAGGAGGAGGAGGAGGAGGAAGGGGAGGTGGTGGAGGAGGAGGAGGATAGGAGAAGAAGGATGAGGAGAGGATGAGAAGGTGGAGGAGTCGATGAGGAGGAAGAGGAGATGGAGAAGGTCCCCCTCCCTGATCATCCCCTCTTCTTTCCTCTTCCCTAACCTGAATGTGGGCATCATGTTCTGGGTCCACATCGGTTTCAACACGCTGTGCTGGATATGACAGGTTGGCCGCCCTTCCATATACTGAGCGCATACTTGCACGATTCTATCGGTCTGGCGAGTGTCAACGCCAGTATTCTCACGGCAACGGGTCAGCGATTCAGTAGCATTCGACGCCCGTGCATTGTATGCGCGGGTTGGAACACGGGTGTTCGTGGGGTGAAGCAGACTGGTCCCCACTGCTAGCAAGCGTTACCATGACAGCACCAGTTCAGATCACATGCAGATGTGGCACAAGGTCGACCACGATACATTAGCTTGTTGTCAACGATGTGGGACGTGGGTGGTACGGGGAGTGGGTGGTGCCTATGCCGCATAGACATGTTCCCAAAGTGGGCATTGGCGAGTTCGGGCACGGCTTCGCAGAAATTGAAGCAGGCATTCAGAAGTTACACATCATGTTTGAGAGTCTGCGGGAGCGCATGACAAACGTTAAAATTTGTGTTTCGCCTGTTCGGTGGCGTAGTGCATTGTCAATTGGCTCAACCAAACACATCTTTTAACGATTGACACACGCACATGCCGCGCATACAGAAGTACAGGCTGTTTCGACAGCAGTGTTGTCACGTTTGGGAACGAGCGCCAGCGGATGCCCTCATGATTGAAAAGGGGGGGGGCTTGCAAAATCCCCCCTTCCCTCCCCGCCTTTTAGGGGGGGCGTATTCGGACCCCCCCTCGCCTTCAAAGGAGGGGGTGAGGGTTCGGACCCTCCCCGCCCCCCCCCCCCCCTTGGCCCTGGAGAGGGGGGGGGTTCGGACCCCGCCCACCCATCCCCACCGTTGCGCAGGGCAGGGGGGGCAGGAGGGGAGGCGCTAGGCATCAGGGTTACGGACATGGGGTTCGGGTTAGGGATCACGGTCGGGGTCAGGGGCGGGGCTAGGGGTTAGGATCCGGGGATTGGGTTAGGAGTTGGGGGGTTCGGGTAGGGTGGTTCGGGTAAGGGTTTGGGTTCGGTGTTACGGTTCGGGTGTAAGGTTTAAAGTTAAAGGTTAGGGTTAGAGGTCAGGGTTCGGTCTGGGGTGTGAGGTTAGGGTTAGGTTTCAGGGTTTAGGGCCTGCATTGAAAAAAGCGCGCGCTGGCTGCGATCCTTCCATCACCAAAAGTAATGGGGGGGGGCGCTGCCCGGGCCGCGCGCGCGCCGAACTTGCATTCCCGCTTCAGACCACCCGCAGCGAAGCCTTGTAGGGTTTAGGGCTTCTACCCCCCCCCAACCTCCCTTATCAAGGGGTGTCGTTGCGTTCGGCGCGCCATCGAGCATGCTATCGTATGCGTTTGAATGCGCGCGCGATGCACTTTGCGCAGGCTCGCGAGCTCGCCTCGCCGAGCTGCTCGTCGTGGCCTTCGGTTTTGCATTGCGCTGCGGGGCTGCCGCGGGCGTGGAAGTCACGGGGGCTGACGGCGACGCGCGCGGCACTCGCATTCGCTCTCGGCCTTGAGCTTCGCCGTTGGCGTCGCAGACACAGCTGGCGGCGGCGCGAACTTCGCGTTGCTGGAAGGGGGGCGCGAGGGGGTGGGCCTGGCACCCCCTCGCTACGATGCGCGGGCATGGCTGCGGCAGCGCCTGCGTGGCGGGGGATCGCTTGGGGGCGTCGGGGAGCGTTCGCAGGCGCCCAGGAGCGCCTGGGAGCTCCTGAGAGCGCCTGGGAGCGCTTGGGAGTGCTGGGGGGCGCGTGGGAGCGCCTGGGAGCGCCTGGGGGAGCCGGCGGGCATGTGGGAGCGTTTCGGATGCGTTCTGCGCAGGCGCACGAGCTCGCCTTGCCGAGCTGCTCGTAGTGGCCTTCGGCTTTGAATTGCACCGCGGGGCTGCCGCGCGCGCGGAAGTCCACGGGGGCTGACGGCGACGCGCGCGGCAGTCGCATTCGCTCCCGGCGTTGGGCTTCGCCCATGGTGTCGCCCCGCTGGAGCGATTGCGGTCGTCGACGCAGCCGCCCCCGGCGCGATCTTCGCGCGGCTGGAGGGGGGCGCGAAGGGTCGGTTTGGCACCCCCTCAACTGCCGTGCGCGGGCGTGGCTGCGGCAGCGCGCCTGGGGGCGGGAGCGCCCGGCAGTGCCAGGGAGCGCCCGGGAGCACGCGGGAGCTTCGGGGAACGCCTGGGAGCGCGCCGAGGAACGCTCGGGAGGGCCTGGGGGCGCGCGCCAGGGATACGGTGGGAACGCCTGGAAGAAGTCCCGAGGGCGCCACGCGCTGTGTTTTCATCCGGTTTGCAGCCGCATGGACTGCCGACAGGCGCCGCATGCTGTACTTTTATCCCTTTAGAGTCCCAGTGGATGGAACCGATGGCAGCGAATCCACTGGCTGTCGGTTGACAGGGTTCTTTCAGCGGAGCTGCGTGCGCGCGGCGAGCGAATGCCTCAGCGCTGCGCGCTTCGTCCGTGCGGCGCACGCTGCATGGGCAGGCTCGCTGGGCGCTCGGCCAGGCGCCGCGGGCTACGGACATTGCGCTGCCCGTGGCTTGCAGTTTAGGGTTTGGGGCTAGGGTTAGGGGTTAGTGTGGGGGTTCGGGTTAGGGGTCAGGGTGAGGATGTAGGGTGAGAGTTTGAAGGTTAGACGTGAGGGTTAAGGTGGGGTTAGGGCTTAGGGTTAGGATTAGGGCAAGGCATTGAGGTTCGAGTTAGGAGCGAGGGCACGGGCTAGGGTTAGGGGTCAGGGATATGGGGTTACAGCAGGGGTGGTAGGGTTCAGGGGATAGGGGGTAGGGTAGGGGTTAGGGTTTAGGGTTAGGGGCGTAGGGTTAGGGTTAAGGTAGGGTTTGGGGTTATGGCTACGGTTAGGGGATAGGGTTGGGGCGAGGAGTCAGGTTTACGAGTTCGGGTTATGGGTTCGAGAAATAGGGTCGGGGTTAGGGATAGGGTAAAGGCGATGGGCATTGGGTGTCAGGGCTGGAGCGTCAGCGTGAAAGTCTCGGGGTTAGGGTAGCAGGGCGGCAGGGGTCGGGCTCCGGAGCTAGGGGGCGGCGCGGACGAAGGATGGGCAAGTGGGGGGATTCGATTCTCGAGTCCACAGGGGGCGCCCGCGCCGGGCCCCCGCCTTTTTTACAGAAGGGGGGGGGGGTCCTGGACGACGGATCGGGGCAGGGAGAGGGGTGGGCGGCTCCGCCGACGACGGGCTGGGAAAGGGGGGGGGGGGCCGGGCCCTCCCCCTCTGAGGCGTCCAGCGGCGCGCCCTCCACGTCTGGGGCAGCTGGAAATTGTTCATATATATATACATATATACATATATACATACATACATATATATGTATATATATATATATATATATATTCCGAAATAGGAAAGCGTTGCGGATCCATTTAAATGCGGGAGTTTCCTGCCTGGGTCCGTTGCCGCAGCGTCTGAGCCACCCGGGAAGGGGCCCACTTGCAGTGATTCGGATTATTTGGGCCCCAGAGGCGAGGCGGGGGCCCCATGGGCGTTTTTCCCGCGCGATGTGTTCGGCGCGTTTGGAAACGCAGCAGCGCACGTGCAAATGCATCCAACAGATTTCTGCGCGAATTCCCACGATTGGGAACGCATTTCCGAAGTTCCGTATGGATGCGAGGTCAGTGGGCGGTCAATGTTCCAATTTCGTATATGCGTGCGAGAATATTGCCACTTGCCGGTGCATGTCGCTCGCCTGTTTCGGCGGGCATAGTGCTGGGTGGGCAAAGTTGGCGGTCTCGCCGTCCTCGGATCACAGGGGCATCTTCGCGCTGGAACTTCGGTTGATCATGCGCGACAAGACAAGGTCCAAATCGTGGGCCAGGGCGGCGAAGAGTGGGGCGCATCAATTGCAGAAGTGCGCGAACATATTCGCGCGGGCCTCCTGCCCCGAGTGCCGGGCCGCGCCCCGCATTCAGATCGACAGCGGACCCTGCTGCGCGGGCGCGCGCATCCAGGACGCATGTTCCGCGTCTTTGGGCGTGCATTTTGGGCGGTGGCACGGCTTGCTGCGCAGGCAAAGTGGCAGGCAGACCAACTTATGTCTCGCTGAAGTCTCTATTCTCGATTCCCCCATCGCTTCGAGATTCTGACCAGTCTCTGCGAGAGAGTAGGTGGTATGCGTTTTCTGCCAGTCTCTGAAATAGCGCAGGGTGATCTCAGCCATTCCCCCTCCTCCTCGCGCCGCCTCCGGGGGAGCTTCGGGCGCGGCTGTCATGTGGTTGCGTTTTTGTGGAGACGCTTCTTCTCTGAATTGCGCAATGGGCCTAGGCTGGCCGCGCGGGTGCTCTGCCGACGCGCCGTGTCGAGGCCGTTGTGAGGCGCGCGGGACTTATCCACCCACCGTCGACGATGTCGTACTGCGCGGGATTCGAGGAGATGCGGCCGAAAATTGGCCATTGTTGCTTCGCGTGGTAGGCGACGGCTACAGCATCCCGCATTGCGTCTACACGGTGGCCCCGACACTGGCCGTCAGCGCACGCGGCAGGTCCGGCCCTCCTTTCGAGCCGTCCTGAGCGAACGCCACATTTTCATTCAATGACGTTCATATTTGGCGACCAACGAGGAGAGCTACATTGCTGA